ATTCAGAAAATTTTCCGCGTTGACCCGAACAGGTGATTTTCAATTAAATAGCAACAATGTTGTACATGTATGTCGTGCGGTACAATCGACTTCCTGTGCTGACTACATCCTCTCGTGGATGGGGCCATGAAGCGTTAAGGATTCCGCTAGATTGTTGTAACAAAAAAAATTTAACGTCTCAATAATTCGATAATTGTCAGGATGATGATCGATGGAGGATTCTAGGAAGTTCCCGTAGATGGGAGATACGTTTTAATTTATTATACGGGTGGTGCCCGGTTCCCTCATGTGATTCGGCCACTTTCGGAGTATTTGACAATTGGTGGGGCACGCTTGTCTCAGGGTTTCTTGCCTTTTTGGAGTTTACAGGACAAATAGAAGCCCCGGATCAGTCGGAATAGGGAGATTAATGTGCGTTTGTTGACGGAATTTCTGGGGTTTGAATTCAATTTTCGTGAGAATTCACCAGCGTCTGGAATAACCACGGGACTCGCTGCAATTAGCTTTCGCATTGGATCATAATTCATTAGCGGAATTAATTCTAAGAACACCGACCATTTTTTAGGTAACTCACATTCAAATTAGTGAAGTGAGATAATAAAGAAATTTATAAAAAATCATTATTGCAGGTATCATTTTCCCAGAAATTTTTTTTTTAACAAACATTACGATTTTTACGATTTCTACTGGATTAATTCCACTTTTTAGTTGCAATATAAGAGTATAAAAGTCGAATGAATTTCATGATAAATTTTTTTCCGCGCACTTGGGTACAGATTTAGATCGCCGAATTTCGTGAGATCCATGAAATAGTAATCTCTCGACAGGTATTGTGTTACCCCTGCAGGATACAACCTGTCACATTACACCGTGTGACAACATTAATGCCTTCATGCTGTAAAGAACTCCAGATATTGCGGTGAAATTGGGACATATTTATCCCGGGGAAACAATCAATTTTCGTCTGCGCCCTTTTCTGAATTGGGGGATGCGTGGGGCTTCCGATTTATCGGGCTTCACTGTTTAAAGGGGAAAACTTATGATTTTGAATTAGGATAGGACTCGTGGGAGAACCTTGAATGGTCATTTCAAGGGAAGGTGCAACAGTTGGCCTGTGCCGTCAGGCGTGACGAAGACGTTGTAGTTGCGGACGTACGCCACGACGAACAGGTAACACCCATTAGTCCACGAACGACGACTTTCGACGGTTTTTCTTCCACCGACAATATTCCGTTAATATGATTTTAAAAAATCCCTCAATTTCTCTTAACTACAAACGTCTCCCTTTTTTCCCAATCATTTGTTGTTTCTTCGACAGCACTGTGCAATAATTGTCATTTGAATTTTTCTCCAAGGGGTAATTCAATGAAAATTAATTATCTTTTCCACAAATTATGTAACTGTAATAACCGAATGGAACTTGCGCTATAGTGAGTCCTAGTGATCGATCATATGACATCGATAAAGAGTGCATTCCATTTTTTTCCGCTCATCACCCGATTATTCTCTTGAGAGTGGGAAATCGGAATTGGAGTACTGTTTATTCACGTTTGAATATCCGTGGAAAATGCTGTCAATGTTTTCTCCCCGGTTGCCGGCTCATTCGACCGGATACTCAATTTTTATTTGTCCGTGATGAATCGTAGATGAAAGAAAAACACAGCGACCGAATGAATGAAGAGGGCCTATAAAAAAGAGATAAATTGAAACGCTTGCACCCCTCAAAACCCACTAAATTGTTTCATCCGGTTCAATTGGATAACCCTCTGGGCCTCGACCCCGGCGTCGTTATGATGAATCGACTGAATATAAAATCCGGCCAAGGGAGGACACTATCGTCATAAAAGTAGGAAATTGAGGAAATAGCTACGAAAAATTTTGTGGTGAAATAATACGTGTGAGAATGTGTCGCACTATTGCACAGGTTCAACATTGGTTACTTCCGGGACACAGGTGGACTCGGAAGTGGAACCACCGTACAGAGGAATTTTTTTTATAACTTGCCTTTCTTTACAATATTTCAAGGCTTTTTGCTGAGGGTGGCAACCGAAGCGTGCCAGTCCCCCGGATTAATGTCTCTGGGAATTGTCAAGGGTGAATTTTTGGGTCTAATTATTACGCTTGTCATGAATTTTTTTAGTCCTCATTTGGTTACATTAATATTTTTTTCAATTATGTTATTATTATTCACTGTATTATATTTTGCTTTGGTATTTGCTTGGCATATATGTCCAAGTATTTTATCATTGTAGTTCTAGATGGTTTGTCTAGTATTTACAATGAGTTTGAGAATAATTTCTAGAACTCATGGATTTGTTGAAATTATATAATCAGAATTTTGTATTTGTTTAAATGTGGTATTCTTCTTATTCAGCATTTATCGAAATTTTTCTCGGAACCAATGCCCT